CTCTCCCTGCCGCCGATGCCCCGATGCCCGTCCCTCGTCCCTTACCCGTGAGCGGGGGCAGGTCGCGGTCGCCCGGCTCCTCAGGGTCGCCCAGGCCGTTGTTGAGGGCCCGGCCCTGCGCGCCGGGCGCGGGGAAGGCGGCGCCGTTGGTGGACGTGGCCGTGCTCGTGGTGATCTCGTCCACCTGCTCCATGTCCAGCTGCTTCACGATCTCCTCGGCCTCCACGGCCTGGCCCGGCGAGTCGGAGCCCGACGTTCCTGAGGGACATTTCCAAACCCTCAGGCTGAGCCCCGCCACTGCTCGGCTCCTTCCCAACCCCACACACAGCCTCGGAATAATCAGATATCTGCACGGATTCGTGCCACAAAAACAAGAACAAACTGAAGGCCAAGACAATGACTCTAAAACATGTCTGAGACAAGAAATGTAATCCCTTTTTTTTCCTTCTCCTTATTTTTTTACTGAAAAGTGCACCACTAAATACACCTATGAAAGAAATGCTCTAATGCTCCTAAACTTCTTTCATTAACCATCAACCCACCCAAGAATGAAGAAGCCTTTTTGCCTGGCAGCAGTAACTCTTAGTTTGTAAACCAGCATGAAAAGTGTACCGTCACTCAAAGCAGCTATTTCATACAAAAATTTATTTTCACACTCAGCTTTAAGCTATTTGCCTTTTGAATAATACTCACCATTTTTATTTGCTGGTGAAAAAAAATTGAAAACAGGAGAAAATATGGTTCCCAATAACGTTGTTCGTGGGGGACTGCCTGTGGTGGGGTTATCTTCCAATTTTCCATTTTGCTTTACGTGTTGGTTCGTCATCTCATAACTTCCAGCTTCTGGAAAAGAAAAAATACGAGTTTTAACACCACCCACCCAGCTGGGTTTCAGGTGCCTCTGCTCCTTTACGGTCAGCATTTGCTCTCTAGAGGTGTACTCTTGTTCAAGGCCCAGCTGGGTCCATGAGAGTCAGTAACTTTCTACCAGCATAAACCCAAAATGTCCATTCTCAGCAGGCCCAGAAGCTTCTCTCCAGACACACAGAAATCTGCTCACACAAACACACAGGTGGAAATTGTGATTTGGCGGAGGCAGCCCCGGAGCTGCCAGTGCCAGGACTCCACTAGAGGGAGGCACGAGAAAGGGTCCCAGCTCCCTGGCTGAGCCTCAGCTGCTCCAGAGCCCAGCCCTGCTCCTCTCCACACACACACAGGGGCACAGACACACCTCGAAGGGAAAGGATTGCCAGCTGTTATCACAAAGGACAGAATTCAATGAACACCCATGTTCCAGAGCTGACACATAACAAGGGTGATCTCTCATGCCACAGCTCAAATCCCCATCCCACAACTGACAGAAACCTGCCTGTGTCTGACCAGTGCTCTCAGCATCTAAGGACACCTGCTTACTTCCACAATGTCAGGAGCTGGGAGGTCACGTTTCCCTTTTATTTGTGAGAAAGCGGGAGAAGAGCTAAATCAAATGATTATGGGACTTTCCGAATAATAACTAAAAACAACAAAAAAAGTTAAATTAGCTCCAAAGCAGCTGCTGCTGACCCACACTGCTCTCACAGAGACACAGTGGGAGCGTCTGGGGGATGGAAGTGCTGCCCACAGCGCTGGAAATCCCGTTCTGCTGTGATCAGCCCTGAAGCCAGGCAGAGCCCAGTGACCTGTCCTGCTGCAGCCCCGGCTGGGGGAGGCAGGGCTGGGGGATGGCAGAGCCCCCCCGGCCTGCAGGGAAGCGGGGGCATCACCAACCTCCGTTGAGCTGACTTTTCCGCCGCACGCGCGAGAGCTGCTTGTTGGGCTTCTCTCCCGTCTGCGGGGTGGAGGTGATCAAGTTGTTGTCGATATCCCGCTCAATCCGACTCCTCTTGGGGGGATTTTCTCTTTCTTCCTTAAAACAGAAAAGAGGGGAAAAACCAACGTGCTGAGCAGCGCCTTTTCCCATGGAGCAGACCAGAGAGTGTCACTTCCTGGAGAAAGTTCACCAAAGATCCCTTTGCTGCTCCACCTCCAGGTGCAGAACGTGCAACAAGTGTCTGGCCAGCTGGGATTTTACATCAGTTTAAACTAAGTCCAAGTATGGGGAATAAAAACTCTACATGGAGCTGCTGTAGTAGAAAAATTGCCTTTACAGCCAATCTATAAATATTCCAGTGCTGCAGAGGCTGGGAAAGGCAGAGACAAAGCAACTAAAATTACCTGAAACTTGGTTTCTCTGCCTGCTAAATACACAGGAGATGAACTGCCCAACAATATCCAGGGTGACAATCTGTATCAGTACAGGACAAAACTGAGCTGTGAAAAATCCAAGGATTCTCCTTACCTGGGAATAAGTGACTGCAGCACTCATGGGAATGAGACAGAATCAAACAGTTTTGCACATCTTCTGTGCATGGCTGTATGTGCAGGCACACCTTTATGGTAGGTTTCTTACCCTTTTCCCCCAAAACACCTATGACAAGTCGATAAAATGTTGAAATTTTATCAGATTTTTATTTATCACAGAGCTGATCTGGGATACATTGTAAATTAGTTCTGACTTCCTGGATACTCTTGAATCTGCAGTTACATAATGGCAGTATCTGAACGGCTGAGATGGATGATGTGGGGTTTTTAACTGGCCTCCATCTAGAGAAAAAAAGCCAGTTTTTTAAGGAATTCCAACGTTACATTCAGTCTATCAAAGTTTATATATATATATATTTTTTTTAATATATATGTATGTGTTTGTATATATATTTCTTTCAGCTTCAAATGTCCATGCAGCACATGCCACAGGTGTTCACATGTGCAGACCAGTAAAGCTCAGCTTTCTAGCTGCACCAAGACATGAAATATCATGGTTTTCCCCACCAAAATCTGGATCTGGATGTGATGCTCCAAGCAGGGAAGTGCTCACTGCAGGAATCCCTGAGCAGCTGCATCAATTCCATGGCACTTGGATTTGTGAGGTTTGACCTTCATTGATTAAATGACTCCTAAACAATTTTAAATAAAATTGCCAGAAATAGTCAAGAAATTAATGCTTACAGACTGGCTTTTGTAAGTTGTTAATACTGGTAATTCCTTGAATCTGGATCCAAGGAATCCTTAAAATAGAAATTAAGAATGTACTGAATTTATTTGACATTTTCACAAAGGAACACCAGGCAATAAAGCCTGTGACTTATTGGACTGTTAAATACACCTACAATCGACTCCTGAAGGTTTCAAAGTCTGCTTTAGCTGACACAACTCACAGGCACTTGTTGCCTTCCAACTCTTTACGTTTTGCTTCCACCACATGATTAATTCTTAACAGGACTGGTTTTCAATCAAACCTGAGGTGATTCTGACCCGCTTGAAAGCAAAGCAGGGGCCTGCAGGCAGCGTACCTTGGGTGTGCTTCCTTTAATGAACTTTTTGATCGAAGACAAGAGGCCCGTCTCATTTTTGGGTGGCTTTCCCCCGCCGCCAGGTAAGGGCTCCTCCACCTCCGAGTGTTTCCGCTTGGCCCGCAGCGCCCGCTGCGTGTGGAGCTGGTTGGACTGCTGGGAGGCTTTCCGTGTCCTCAGCCTCATCTTCATGGGTACCACATGGAAAGCTGAAGGGAAAAGCAGCAATCCCTCGCTGAGGAAACGTGCCACAGCTGCAGCTCCCGAGTCTGAAGGGGGATGCGAGGCTGGCGGCGCTCCCGGCGCGCTCCAGCACAGAGCTGTGTGCTCAGGGAGAGCACCACGCTGCCAGGGGACAAACCATGGAACGTGGGCATGGCTGCAGCACCCAGCACCCCCAGGGCACAGCACCCAGCACCCAGCACACCCAGCACCCTCAGGGCACAGCACCCAGCACCCCCAGGAGTACAGCACCCAGCACCCCCAGGGGTACAGCACCCAGCACCCCCAGGGGTACAGCACCCAGTACACCCAGGGCACAGCACCCAGCACCCAGCACACCCAGGGGTACAGCACCCAGCACACCCAGGGGTACAGCACCCAGCACACCCAGGGGTACAGCACCCAGTACACCCAGGACACAGCACCCAGTACACCCAGGGCACAGCACCCAGCACCCAGCACCCCCAGGGCACAGCACCCAGTACATCACTGAGCCTGGCTCAGCACCCAGCACATCACTGAGCCTGGCTCAGCACCCAGCACGTCACCGAGCCTGGCTCAGCACCCAGCACACCCAGGGGTACAGCACCCAGCACCC